AATGTAAGAAAGCCAGGCTTTTTAAATCTCTGTTAACACTAAAAATGTTCAGGAAGAGATTTCTGGAGATACAGAAACAGGAGTAATTTATTACAAGGTAGACATCCGATACCTTTTAGTCCTTGCAAATATGCCTCTACAGGAGGTTAATGTTCAGGGAATATTCACACTTACTGTATGATTTTGTTGTTTTACTGCAAATATGGAAGCAATTCCAAGATTTTTCTGAATATACTTAGCAGATGATAAGCCTAAAGTTCCTCCTGCAGAAAACTGCAGACAGCAAATCTAGTGCTGATCAGTGCCTAGAAGGGGCAGCTGTTTTGGTCCTGAGTGTCAGTAAAGAGTTACTTGAGGTGTAAGTGATGGTATGCAGAAACAGAAATCAATTACTTCTGCCAAGATAAATGGGAAAGGACAAACTGATATAAATCGGAAGATCAGACCTTTTTCTTAGAAAATACTCTTCCACAAATGAGTCAGTTCTTTTCCCTAATAGCTACAATAATACAACTGATGATAAGGTAAATTCAAGAAAGAACAGGAAAAAAAGAAGGCTGCTTTTCTGTCTAAGCAGAGAACATCCAGAATGTGCAGCGAAGTCTGTTTCTCCCATCCAGAAATGGAAGCCAGCAGAGTTGAAAAGACCTTACAAAATTAGTATTGAAAGACCAAAGTATTTATATCAGCTCATCACTCTCTGCCTTGTATTGACTTGTACTCAACTCATGTGATGTACCTCTCAGAGAATGAGCAAATAAAGCATGTGGTCCAAACGTGTAATTGAGACTATACTAAAATGTTTTGGAAATGTGAAGGCACACCGCTGCTCAGTCTTTGTTTAGGTTTTGACCCACGTGAGTCCAGCAAGAGTAGGCTTTACCACTATCACATGGCAAGAGTTTTCTCAGGGAACTAGAGAAGGCAGTAACTGTGGCTTGTAGCTTAGGTGTCAGTAGTGTCACAGTGGATTCTACATTCTGCCATTTTTTACCTGGTAAAATATGGCCCAATGGTCTCTGGTTCTCTTTTGATGGATAAATTTGAGAGGTGGTTCAGGGTGGATGAGGATGAGATGGACAAGGATCTGTCCTTCGAGTTCCCATGAACACAAGCATTTAGGAACACTGCTCCCCCCAAAAAATGTGGCCTTTTGTGTCCACATAGTACCTATGTGGACAAAATGTCTTAAGAGCTGAATTTTTACAGGAAGAGAAGTAATGGTTCCTTCCGTTTATTGGAAGCTGCCTTTGAGCCAAGGATTTTCTGGGGAAAGGAAGTAAAGTGAAAATCAGGATTGTGTGAGGATGAAGAATATGGAGAGTCAATTCCAAATAGTGCACAGGGGTGGGTTTTTAGCTGTCAGCATGTATGGGATGTGTAAATAGTAGCTATCCATAGCTTTCTTAACTTTATACTGCAGCTGGTTTACCTTTCATACTACATGGAAAGTTCAGGGCACTTCTGTGGCCAAAAGACAACACTGGAAACTTTCAAGCACTTTTCAGATCTAATGGACAACAAGATACATTTAATGAAATGGCATAAATACACAGCAGTCTTCTAGTTTTGTTGCACAGTTTAATATGCAGTCAACAGAAAAGTACAAATTAATAAATGCTACTTCTCCAAAGCACAGAGGAACTCTGTAACCTGTTTCTTTTACATAAGAAGAGAAAATAATTTTGCTTTTAAAGGCAAGAAAGTGTACTCTTATGTTACATAAATACATGAACATACGTGAACAAAGTAAGGAATATTTTGCCAGTATTAGACATAAATGTGAGTCAAAATATGCTTTCGAGGTTTTATTTAACTGAAAAATTACAAGCAATCTGGCTGATACTGATATAGTTTGTGAGGCCAAGATAATCTGTCTATATCCCCAGCTGCAGCAGGTATTAAACCAACAGAGACTGCAGAGGCGAATGTCATTGGATTGTCCTGGCAACCATCTGCATCTCGTTACACTGGACTGGTGAGACTCTAAGAAATCAAGTTCTTCCTGTGAAGAGCCCCTGGTACTTTCTTTTTTCATAGATCTCTGACATATGTGGTATATACCTTATGGTTCTTGGCCCAGTCAGCATTTTGCTACATGGCTCAATGTGCTGGGAAGGTTGGACTCATCAGGACCTCCTACATTTCACCTTTGTGAAATAGCTGGGGTGGCTGACCAATATTCTGGAGTTTTTTAAGGCTACACTGAGTCTCATAACCTCATTAGGAAGCAGATGATCCAGGAGGATCATACCATGATTCCAAACACAGATGGCGCAACTGCTACTGCTGTTATAATTTACCAATCTGACCAAAACATGCTACTAACGAAAGTCCTGGTTTTCAAGTTTTTCATTTAATCTATGCAAGGGTTGTATGCATAGCTATAGAGATGTTGCTAAAATCCTCTTGTGCAGGTAAGCTTTAATAATCGTGTGTTTACTTCTCTGATGGAAGCAGTTTCATGCAGACCAGTAACAAACAGAGCTTCCTTTTCCATCTATGACCAGCCACCTCTCTTCACCAGCATGCTGGGGGAGAACTCAGATTGCCCATAGGTTTCTTCATTTCTTCATTTGGTAGGAGGAAATAAAGTGTGAAGACCATGTTTGTTGAGAATTATGGTTGTAATACATGGCATCGGATCACAGCCTGATGGCAAAGAGTGTAAAAAAAGAGGAGCAGGTGATCTTTGACTTTTACATCTTCCCTGTACGTACATGACCAGAGAAACTATAAATCTAAATTTTGGTGACCATTTATTTCTCTGGGGTCATATGACTGTGTAATGTGAGACCCTCTATACCATATTCTCCATGTGTAGTGTCTGAGAAATTTCTATTCATTTTTCTTTCTTTTTAAGGGGACAGACATCCTAGAAAGTTTTAGCTTGTCTTTAGCCAAGTGCAGTGTGACTGAGTGTAATACAGAAAGCACATAACATAGCCAGTTCTTACAGCACACAGCTTTGGCTATTACAAGTTTTGCTTTCAAGTTCTGACCTTTCCTGTATTTCTGTTTTTCAGTGGATCAGCAGCCAGCCTATCCAGTGTACCCTCATTGGGTATAGAGCCAGATTTGAAAAATGAAATTTGTGAGGATATATCGCATGAGTGATGAAGCATCCACCTATGTAATATAGTACTCTATGAACATTTATTTCTTGCTCTAATTTTCATGCACTAATTAAAATTTAAGACCACTGTCTAACTGTGTCTATGAAGAAAAAATACTGCTTTCACAGGGAGAAAAAATGGGAGGACTTTCTGAAAACTAAGGATAAGTTTCCAAGAGGGATTATCTATCCTTTAAGTATCTATAAATTAGTGTCAATGTTCAATAGTTCCAGGTCTCGCTGCCGAGCAGTTCCAACAGCGTGTCCTTAGGTAGTTCTGGAAATAAATTAATGTTTCTACTTAGTGTAACTTCCTCATGAGGTTATCACATGACTAGTAACATTTAATGCCAATACTACTGAAAAATGTGTGGGATCAAGTAAAGCTTTTTGAACTCTAAGCACTTCACTTCTTTATAGTACTTTATAGAAATCACTATTTTTCTCAGCCACGAACGTGTATGTCAGTTCCATTCCTTTGAAAGGATGTTCACAGAATCGCAGAATTGTCTAGGTTGGAAAAGACCTTGAAGATCATCCAGCCCAACCATCAACCCAACAACCTGTTGCCCTGGGGTAGAGAGTTGCAGAGTACAGAGTTGCTAAAGATCATTAGCCTCAAGCTTTAGCTTACCAGTTCTGCAAAAACAATTAGGCAGTCATCATGTTCTACACCTTTGGCACTTAGTATCTATAAGATGGCATTTTGTATATTTTCCTGTGTCTTCTTCCTGTCACTAAACAAGTCTACAGAATTTTTTCCTTAAAGGTGTATATTGGAAATTACACATGTAAGACAGCTTTTTAGGTTAAGTATCCCTCTAAATTTCTAAATACAAATATCAACTAAATTTATAAAAACATAATGATTATAACCTTTCAAGTAAATACAGGTATTTATTACCTTCCATTAAGTATGAAATTTTACTGTATAATTTTATGTGTATATGCATTTTTATTACAAAAGAAACACTTCTAAAAACCTATGTCTTACTATTTATCACCATATATGGAGTTTATGTTGGACAAGTAAATCTACCTTGTATTTTTAAATCTTTTTTTTGTTTTATGGTGTTTGCATATTTCATGACAAAGAACTGGATTCTTTACTAATAGTAGTTAAAAATTGTTAAATAGAAAAGAAAATACTTTTCTTCTGTAACTACTTTTCATTTTAACTAATGTTGTACAGTTTTAGCTGTCTCCTGCTGTGAGATACCAGGCCTTGTGTATAAATTTGTTGATCTGCATATAATCTTGAGTATCTGACCAGTAAACCATAACCAAAAAAGTCTGAGTAAACAATAACTGCCTATGTAGCCTAATTTACGTGTATCAAAATTCTTTGTTTTCTATTACTGCTAGTGTTCTGTCAACCTGGAAAAATTAGTCTGTTCTAGGAATGTGGGCTTTACACATTTTCTCATGTTGTTTCATCATGTTAGAAACACATAAAACATGTTAGAACACGTAAAACTCTCTATCTACCAAATTCTTTTGCTTTCTCACAAGACTGCCAGAAGGAAACTGAAGGTGATCATCATTATACCCATTGATTGTTAGGAAATAAACTTGACTCCAAGCAGAAATTCCTCGGTTGCCTGGATCGTGTTTTACAGGAATTATTTCACTACAGGCACATAAACAAGTGATGTGAGGTAAAAGCCTGTTGTAAAACATAGTTACTTTTTGCAGGTTAGTTTTAGAACTAATGGTAGAACTGCTGGTGGTGAGAATGGTTAGTCTTTGTCCATTTTATGACCGATTCTTGTACATTGCATTCTAGGGAATAGTTTATTTCTTTTTTAAAGAAATGGAGACTAAGTGGGAAAGGTGAAAGTAGAGGTGCTGACACTTTCTACTCGTAGAGTACTTACTGCTGTGTACTTACTGTTGGTAGAACTATGAAGGATGCAAGATGCACAGACTTGAGTACAGTGTGTTAATCTGACCACAGGAAATGAAAAACTTGAAATAAAAGCATGTTCAGATTTATTGAGGCATTTCAAGCACTAGTTCTGTAAATTAAGCAGGAATATTTCAGTAACTGCTAATGAAAGCATGTGATTTTTTTAAAAAATTATTTTAGCTTTAAGAAAGTACAGGAAATTGAGAGAGCATGAAGAAACTGAATTGGTATGTTTAGAGTTTAAGTTCCCATGTTATCATGGTGAATAAGGTGGCGGTGACTGATCTGCAGCAATTTTGTCATAAGCTGGTGGAGCATCAGGCACCTATGGTAAGGAAAATAGGTATGAAAGATTGAAAAAACAATGGAGGTACAAGAAAATTGCATTAAAGATGCAGCAAGCTATCTACCTTCATATCAGGTATGGCACTACACCTTAACATAGCTCAACTCATTCATTATGTGAGGGTTTTTAAGGTTAGATTTTGCTAATAAGTTTTTTGGTTTTGCATCAGGTTAAATTAATTCTGTTTGTATTATTCATCTAAAGAGAGAAGTTTCAGTGTTAAAAGGACAGGATTTTTTTTAAAAAGCAAGTTGTTTTTTTTTTTTTTTTAATACTGAGAATTCAGACTAATATTGAAACTTTTCTTTTTCTCAAGAGTCTTGATGCAGGTATGTTGTCTGATTTCCCATGTTAACAATTTAGACAGTTTATTTAAAATTAGTTGTAAATTAGCCTTTTCCCTATTCTAAAATTATTTGAACACACCCATAACTTGACATACATATTTATCAGTTATTTGAACTTTTTTAAAATTATAGGTTTGAATGTCCATCTTTCCATAACGATTCAAGAAGCTAAAACCTTGAAATTTTATGTTTCCTGATAATCCTTGTCAGGGTAGAGTATGCCAGACACAGTCCATTTGTTGTTTGTCAGAATGGTATAGTATATTTCTGCATTCAGGTGTTACATCATTCTTACAGTTTGCATGATGATTGTGCAACTTAAGAATAAAGGTAGGTCAAAGAATTTTTTAAAAGAATAATTCTTAATAGTAGATTTTTAAAACCCATTTCACAGTAAAAATGGTCAAAATACTACTTTTTAAGTTAATGTAGAGGCATTAAAGACCCATCTGGAGAGCACAGCCCAAGAAAGAAATAATCAGCAAGTGACTGTTTACCAAGATTGTCTCAGCATGTCTTAATATGTTGTGAATAAATGAAACCTTGAGTTACATCTTACCACAGGATTAAAGTTTCTGTACTCCTGCAGAGCCATTTTGCAGTCCAGTATTCTTCCCTCACCTACCATGGTTCGTATCGTGCCCACACTAGAGCTTTTGCTCTGTAACAGATCATAAAGAAATACGGGGAAGAAGAAAGGAAAAAGAGAATGTGAAGTTGGAGCAAATTATGCAACATTTAATATTTGACAGCACATTTACCGTATGTATTAGAAACTGGGATTAGGGCCAGACACAATGTCAGCAAGTAAGAGAGCTAATCTTCCTATCACTTTCTGCCTTCTCTGCTGAGAGATACTATCCCTCCTGTATTGTCTAATTACACTGCCAGAAAAAAGAGGATCACATTTTTTAGGTCCAGGACTGCTGCAGAAACTGACACCTTCTCACATACCTGAATGCCTCCTTCTTTTTATCCCACCCATTTCGTTCTTTAATCTCCAACCTTTTTTTTTTTTTTTCCGTTTTCCAATTTTACACCATTTCTTTTGTATACATTCTGTACCAGTTCTCCCCTAGCCAAAAAGCTTAACAAAAATTTGATTTTCAAAATCAGAAAGCAGCAATCTGCAATGAGAAGAATTAAAAAAGTATGTGCTTCTTGCAATGATGTACAAAGCAGAAATGAAAGAATTCTGGTTTGCTTTTTTGAAGGTTTTTTTGTGTATTTACCTTCATTTTTGCAGCATTTCACTATGAAGATAGATCACTGGAAAGGTAACAGGAGAAAGTTATCGGAAACAGCAAGGAAATGGATTTGCTGACTGAGATGAGAGGTATGTTTTTTACTTCCAGATGGTTACATCTTTTTTGAAATATTAGGATAACTAAAAGATACTGTAAAACATATAATCGGATAAAGCTGTCACTTTAAAGGGTTAAAAGTGGCCTACCTTTCATGGGAGAGAGCAGGAATTCAAGGACAAAGCTTTGAGACTTCTAACAACAGATGTTATGAGAAGGATTGTAGCTTTTTTATAAAGTTTTTAAGAACACACAAAGAATTTTTTTAAAAGTAGTATTTAGAAAGCAAATCTCAAACCTGCTGTGCTTTTTTGTGAATCTTAAAACTTCAAGTCAACTTTTATATAATAAATCATGCATCACCCATACTTGAACATAATATTTACTTGTAACATTTTTCTTCTCTTCCTTGATTTACTCTAATCATATCTGTCCTTATTTAGGGTAAGTCATATGAGTAGTGAATATGTTATTTTTATTTAAATGAAAATACACTGAACACATCTTGGGTTTGCATAAATATGCAATATAATGTTTCCCTGAGATCGGTTTTTTCACTGATGTGTTGTGCAAAGTTGGGCAACTGACTCCATCTCCCTATGCTTCTGCTTCCTCTTTACCTCTTTGACTGAGATCTTCAATGCAAAGTCTGTTTCGTATTGTCTGGTTTTACCCGTGTATGTGTCAGTGTATATATTGCCTGAGACAATGACCTCCTACTACAGATTCGATCTACTCTGCATTAATGTAATGCAAATAATGATAATATTTTGTCAAAATAACAGCATGCTAGAAAGTGAGGTGCCATGCTTACCTGCAGACTTTTATAGCCACTGCGTCTTTTGTAATACCAGCAGCCAAAGACAAGTAAAATTGCCAGCACCAGAATGAAGAGTCCAATACCCAGAACTCTGTTGGGAAAGCAAAACAAAATAATTAACACCAGAACTTGATGCATTCCTCTGGGAGCAAGAATGATTAGAGAAAAAATTTGTATCAATATCCTATTATCAAAGAAAAGCACGGAGCAGATTTAACTTCAGAAAATAGACAAATATCAAAATATCAATAACTTCAGCCAGTCTCTGTAGATTAAGAAGTTAGCTAAATTCTCTGCCAAATTCTTAAGCATTTTAAAATGAGGAATATATTGCTTTGAAGATAATAATCTACCAGTGACTACTTCTTCTAAAAAAAATCCCTGCCTGTAAATCCAGCAAACAGCATTGCAATACTGAAAGAGAATGTGAAATAAATGCCACACCTGCAGAGACACAGCTCATGTTTATTTGTTGAATCTATTTAGGCAGCACTTATTGAGAAACGTATCCTAACTTCATCATATTGCAACAACTGCTGATGACAGAAGGATTTTTTTGATACATAAAACACTACACAACCTCAAAACCCGAGTAACAAACTTTGAATTACTCAAAAAGAGCTCTATAATTCTTTAGTTCTTGTTTCATGACATGTTAGTCACCAAATTGGTGTCAATGGGTCAATTTAGGGAATATAGGCTTTGCAAACTGTGCTGCCAGACATCTTTCCTACTGCTTACCACGTGCTTGGGAAAAGCAGCACAGTTCCACTGGCTGTCAGAAAGCGAGCTGACCAAGTAGTTGCAAGTTTCCTAGTAACAAAAACCCTTCCTCCTGTGCTAACATCTTCTCTGTTAAGACATACAGAATTCACTCTCCAATTTTTCTTTGCCTGCTCTCTGCCTGTTCAAGGACAGAAGAGTCTGTAACATGCTTGAAGGGAAAAGAGTACAGGAAAAAAAAATGACCACATGAGTCAGGATAAACTCATTCTAACATACTTTCATATGTCTTATATCCAGTTACCCTGTAATAATCACCATCAGGCTTTTCCATTGGGACTGATGAGGGGAGTATGTGACTGACCAGAGACCTTTTATATCTATTTGCTATCATTTTCAGTGACTCAGTCTCATGGAGTGTTTCCTTGTGACCTGTGAAGCCTGAAAGAAGATGCATGCAGATTTGTGGGGCAGAACAAGCTGTTGTTTTGTCTGGACTGCCTGTGTGCTGTTTGAAGCATGAACCCCACTGGAGCCAGAGGGATTTTCTTCTACACAAGTACCTGAATCTTGCAATTTGGTCCTGCCCGTTCAAGCCTGTGTTGGCTGGAGGTCTGTTTGACCCAAGGAACACAGTTTACGGCATTCACGTCCTTCCTGGTGCAGCCGTGTTGCTGCTGATCTTCAAAATTAAAAGATGGCTCCACTGGTTTTGTTACTGTCCCCAGAACAGTTAAAACTAATTCTCCAAACAACTGCTGCCTTTTCTATGTTTTGGGACTGCTTTCTGCTTTTCACAAGGCTTTTTCAAGAAGCTAGTATGAGAAGTGTATACACAGTTTCTTGCAATTCCAGTTAAAGTTGCAGCTGTCCTATTAGAAATCTGTGCTTATATCTTGAATGCTGCTTCTGATACTGGGAGAGAGTCACTTTTCCCTCGCATATCTAGAAAACTGCTTACCAATGCAGTTCATGGCAGTTGGAGATAAGTGTGCTTAGTTTCTGGTGCTGAGACATGACTATCCAGCTTTTTCTTTTGGAGAACTGAAATGCCTTGAAAGAACTATGAGAGAGCCTTCCCCTTTGCGTATTCTCTCTGCCCAGGGATGAAGACAGAGAAACAAATAC